GTTTTGCTCCACAGTAGAGAGTAGCCCACACAATGAAAAAGAGAAAACATTTTTTCTAGTTCTCCGTACTTTGAGCTTTAACTTACCGCTAAACCACATGATAAACATCATTTTGGGGGTGATTTTATGATCACGGAAAAAGTTGAGTAGGTAGGAAAGTGGGAAAATATTCACTGCTCTACCAAACAGAACAAGTACCTGATTTGCTCCACAGTAGAGAGTAGCCCACACAATGAAAAAGAGAAAACATTTTTTCTAGTTCTCCGTACTTTGAGCTTTAACTTACCGCTAAACCACATGATAAACATCATTTTGGGGGTGATTTTATGATCACGGAAAAAGTTGAGTAGGTAGGAAAGTGGGAAAATATTCACTGCTCTACCAAACAGAACAAGTACCTGAAAAACAGAAATAAAAGCAAAAGAGCATCTGATGTGTTATATTCATGCAGGCCCCAGTTGCATCTGGTTTGTACAGGGCAAGGTGAATACATTTTTTTCACTCACAAGTCTTGCAAATAGGTGTGCTGCTAAACTAACGTAAAGAAATCTTTTGGCATAGGTCAATGTGGAATTTAACTTTTTAAACATTTTGTCTGCTTAACTGAAACTAAACCAGACTTGTCACTGACAGAGACCAGACACTACTTTACTTATAATAAATAAATGAAACCCAAGAGGCATTCCAGGGAGACCAAGAATTACTTTGGGTAAAAGTTCTCCTCAGTTCAGCTCCTTTAATCATTCCCTTGGCACAGCAGCTAAGAGGCAGTAAGATATTTCTATTGTCTCCCCATGGACCAGTTCCTCAGAGAAAAAGGCCAGAAGCCAAACAAATAGCATGTAATTCGGTTCCTCAACACTTCCCTGGGTATGGTTATAAAACATATCACACATTGAAACAACATTTTGAGAGAGGGAAAAAAAAAAGTACTATTGATTTAAGGGCAGACAATTAACAAATACCGTGAAAACTTTAACTCAGAAAAGCAAAGGTTTTCACAATGGCATTGCTTTTAAGCTCCACCACAAACAGACCTTGATAAGGTAAATATCCTAGAATTAGTAAGCAGGATCCTTGAAGGGCTGTGCTGTTTTCCTTTATGAATCACCCCAAAATTACACAATTTGCATTATGCCTGTGAGGGCAATGCTACATAGAAGGAAGTGTCACACCTTAGATATATATTAGATAAGGAAGTTGGGTGTAATGCAGTGAGAGCAGTTCCCCATTCTGATATTGCTCTCCTCTGTAAATTGTAGATAGTAACTCTTCCCTTGAACCATGGACTAAAATGTGCTAGTATACATTGCTGTACATGACTGGAAATGGATTCACATTTCCCTCTTTTGACTCTGCAAAAGAGAACATACTTTCCATGTCTATATTAAACAATTATAATAGCAATAGATGTAGGTAACCCCCATGTGAAATATAATTTAAAGTGCCACTACAGAAAGCTACACAGAACGAAAGAAAAAGAATTAAGGAGTCAAAGAATGAATACACATTGGAGAAGGTTTGAGTAAGGATTTCCTCTGAAGAAGGTTAAGCTCAGAGTAAAGAAGTGATGTATGGACTAAATTGTTTTATGTAAACAAACTGCAGCAACGTATGAGAGAGAAAGACTCAAAAGCTGTAGTCCTGGAGAGATGAAATGGAGCAGAGTTTGATACTAGTTTGCACTGTAGTTTGTACGAACTGCCCATTCACACAAATCATTGATATGAAGCTAAAGATACGTAAAAACTCAGTATTGTTTTCTGGTAAAATATCTTCTGGAATAAATATCTGGAATAAAGTGGCTTGTATAATAATCCCAACATCTTTTGAGATTTCTTTTATTTTAATAAATCTAATAGGGTCAAAACAAGCAAGGTTCTTTTCCTTGTTTTTAATAATCTTATACAGAAGGGTTTCAAAATAACAGCAAAAAAACCCCTGGTATTCCTTGAAGACGACTGATGTATTTGTACACCAAAATGCTGAGAACAAGAATAATAATTTCATGCTATTAGCGAGAGCTAACTTTGTGCAATATATAAAAATATTGAAGTATTTTCATAAAAAGCTCTAAAACATAACAACTATTCTAAAATATTTTAACTGCAAGGTGTTTCCCCCCTCCCCAATACCAAAAATGCATCTAAACAAGTATGGAAGAAAGTAAATACCTACTATGCACCAGATGACAAAGGACATTTCAAACTTGTGAGGAAAACTAAAAATTGACAGGCCAAGAAATGCAAAAACACATGTTTCTGAAAAAGAGAAATCACATCTTAAATAAACAATTCTATAAAACCTTTTCTACTCCTATTATGAGTTACTGCAGCATAAGACATTATTTGGTCATGCTTTGGGTACTGGCTACTTACATTTGCATGTTCAAAACCTGCTGCAAACACGTACAAAATTGCACAGTATCTTAAATAACTCCTTTACAATGACTTGAATGAACATGTGCTTTTTTAGCATTTGTAATAAATTAAGACCAAACCCTGATGAGCTACTGGTAATGAGTGGTTAAGTTTAGTTTGCAGCAGGGCCACTCCCTGACCATGTTCCAAATGCATCTTCCTGCAAACAATACGGAACGCATTCATGCCATCCCCTAAAAAACAGGGATCTATTTGTAATACAGAAGCATGTAATTTCTTTGAAAGTTTGGCTTGTAAAAGGAAATAGAAAGGCTATGGGACTCTGAGCTGCTTGTATCACTGCTTCCAAAAACTTCTTCTCAATTTGTGAAGCTATTGTTTTTGCAAGTAGCTCTTTATATCCAAAACCATTTTAAAAAATACTGCTAAAAATCCACCTCCTAAAACTAAAAATAGACCAGAGGAATATAGGAGTCAGAGATCTCTGTTCGGTTATGAGTCTTGTGGCAAATCTTAGCAGGAGCCTGCAGGACGGGAGAGAGAGATTTACTGTATGTTTTATCCAGTATAGCAGGAAAGGTGACTTTTGACTGCCTTCCAGCCTCCACTATGAGGAATTCTTCTCTTAAAGACATGTACCACTGACATACAAATGGCTAGAAGAAAATTCACACCTCTGCTGCTCCCATCAGAATCACCATTTCAGGCAATAAAATTTTAAACTCTTAATATTAGATATTAATAGTAGATAGCACCTACCACACATGAAAGCAACAGTTCTCAGTGTCTGCTGCATTAAAATCTGTGTAACCGGGGACAAGTTATGGTGTGTATAGTGAGACATCACGATGCCAGAGAATAGGATTGCCATGATACCTGTAGATAAAAATGTGGCAGTCAACAGAAGAAGAACAGCTTGCACTCTGCAAATATTTGTGTTTATAACTTACTAACATAAAAGCTTATGAAGCAGTAAGTGGGGTTTCTATTACCATTGTTATTCATACTGGTCTCATGCCACTGGTCATATTAAATACTATGAGGTCCAGTATAGGTCACTTGCAAGCTAGAATAAATCCCTGTTATGTCACATTTTCCCATAAAAGTGAGGGAAATAAAAAGCCAATTCTTGAGTGTTTTTCCTGCTTTTCACTCTCCTAACAGGTAGAGAGGTGAGATTAAAAGAAGAATAAAAACAATCTGAGAATAGCGGGGCTAGGGAACTGTATGATTCAGTTCTCCCAGAAAGCGTGTCATTCTTTCCTACCTGCTGATCAGCCAGGCCCAATCACTCCACCAGAAGTAGAATGAGACCAACATGGATGTGAATCCACTCCAGTATGGTGCACCACATCTAATACCATAAAAAATTAGAACGAATAGCACACACAGGCGTACCCCTAATTTTCTATCAATCTGAGAATCAGAAAAGCTATTGAGACTTGAGAATTCAGGGCAAAAATTACCTTTGTAGGAATCACAGAATCATTTAGGTTGGAAAAGACCTTTAAGATCGTCAAGTCCAACTGTAAGGAAGGTACAGCCTGATACTTAGGGCCTGCAAGGAATGCTGCTGTGCAGCATGTCCCTTGCCTCCAGCAGACAGGGTCACTAAACCACATCCTAAAAGTTACTACAGAGATTAATCTCAGCTATCAACTATGGGAAAAGCCACCAAATTTTCTGTTATAGAGTTCAGTTGCCCTAATGACATGCACAGCTTGGACAGAGGTACAGCAACTGACAGGTACAACCACAGGCCAGAACAGCTACCTCAGATTTCACTATATCTCACAAATCTTTGATTTGTGTTAGGGATTTTTTCCATCTACCTTGCTTCCCAGCTCTTGGTTACTTATGGGAAGAATCTGAATTTCAACCTATTTCGCTAACTGCTCAAGACATATCACAGACGCTGTCAGTTGTTCACTGTTCATAGGGAGCTGGGTATCTTAAAGGAAGTTGTAAGCATTTCCATGGCTGCATAGACTTATACCTGCAAAGGATGTCGTTTGAGATGATGGTTAGAATTGTGGAAAAATTTAGCAGTCCACTTGAAGAACAACTACAGTACTCCTTGTGAAGAAATAACTGACCAAAACTGACAATATAACCCAGAAGAAATCAATTGCAATGCAGATCTTGAGAGGACAGGATGACATGTGGGAGTAAGCCTGCTTTGCCCAAAACAAGGGAAGTTTAAAAGAGGTATTTGGCTGGAGTTACATGTCCAGGAGTGGTCCAGGTGAACACAACTGGAAGGATTAGAATAGCTGAGGTACAGTCAAAAGAATCCTTTGTTTGAAACACAGAAGTGACCTGACTAAGGTCATTCAAAGTTTATATTTCTTGAGAAGTCATTCTTGAAGGCACTTGAGCAAATTAGAGAGGTTGTCTTTACAAACAAAATGACAAAGAACCTCTACCATCCGGAGAGTAACTAACTAGGAATCTTACTGTAAATTCTTTTTTATTGTATACCAACATACAGATGTGTTGGTTATATAATGCAATGGCACTGTAGTTCTGTAATATTTTCTTATAATTTTATATTAATAAGCAATATAAATTACAAATAGAAAAGGCCATGTGCTGAGATCCGCCAGAATAATCTTCTCACAAGACAAAACTTGTTTTTACAGCAATACAAATATTTTAACATATCAAACTGCTGGCTCAGGTTTCATATAATTTCATTTCCCTACGTATGTGTTGGCCTATACACACATACAGAGTAGTTCTGGATGCAAGTGGGCAGAACGGAATGTTTGCATTACGATTATACATCTTGATTTTGTAACTACCATGATTATAGGCCACATCTTCATACGTACAAAAAAATACAACTCCACTGACATCAGTGAAGGTATGCTGATATATACTCCTACAGATTCATTCCAAAAAATTCACATTAGCTCACATGTACGTTTTCAGAAAGTCTGATTTCATACCTGCAGCTCATTTACAAGAAACCTAATCCTGCTACTACTCCTCACAATCTTGTAACATTCTTATATAGTCCAAGTTGTAGAGCAAATATATCTTTTAATGCACTTAAGACTTTAAAAAAAACCCAAACAACCCAAGAAAAAAAGAAAAAAAAAAAAAGAACCAAGCAGATTGCCTAACTATTTGAATTATACTAACTGTTGCATGCCTTCCCACTTTCCTTTGAGAAATGAGACAGGAAGCTGATTGCCTTAAAAAACCACTTAAATCAGCAAAGGTCAGGGACATTGGGCATCCTGCAGAACTGGACCTTGTCTTTGTACTCAATTCCACAGAATGATGGAAGAAGTTCACCTGTAAGCCTCTTCTCGTGGCCTTCAGCAAAACTTCTACCAAGTATTCAGAGATATATACAACACTCAGTGGTCTCAGCTGATTTCCCCAACGGCACTGAAGGACAGGCAGAAAAATGGCTACAGGGTAGTAGGCTGGACATTATCTAAGTTAGCTGATGTGGCTGAGATCTACAGCATGCAGCTGAAGTTTTAATTCTATGTTAGGTAGAGGTAACTGGGGAGAATACTAGTATTTTCATCAGCTAACTAATGCTTACGAAAACTGCAATTACCTTTTCTATACTTTTATAACATGAAGTAGAGAATAAGTGTTTCTTCAAAGTAAGTCAAAGTTAAAAGTAAGAGCACAGCTTAAATGAGAAAACACATAAAAAACCAGGGACCTCTTAGACACAAATAATACCTACTCCCTAAACTTATCAAAGAAACTTGCACATACTCATTTTGCTACTCACCTGAGAGTGAGATACCTTCTGCAAGTCCGTAAGGAAGGTAAGCGAAGATAATCATCATCCCAAACTCTAGGGAGGGTGTCTTCCTTAAATCAATGTGCTTTAGCACGTACACAGGAAAATGTTAAGGAAAGAGTAAATTAAAAAAAATTCCGAGAAAAATTTAAATCTGTGTCATTCCATTACAAAACAATGATTATGCTTAATGTACTTATCTACTGAATAGCTAATAAAGTCTACACGTTAGCCTTTGACTCAAATATGGAAAGATTAATAATTTCTTACAAGGAGTGTTTCTTATAGAAGCTACTGCTGGTAGAAGTCTATCAGAATGGACAGATCTAGAGACAGAAAAGATCTGCTACTGATGTACCTATACAATGTTGATAACAACATGCCAAATTGTTTGTTTGGATCTCGAAGGACCATTTCCAAATCTCTGCTCCAAAACTACTGCAGAAAATCCTCAGAGAATCATTAAACAGTAAAGGCTTTTCTAAAAATAGGGGAGAGCTATGAAACAGCAAATTAAAAGTAAAATAGCTCTCATTTATGTTTTAACAAAAATAATGTCCTTTTGATACTCAAGATATTTAAAACTTACTTTACATTTGTAGTCATAAACGTGGACATTTGTCAAGGGCTGCAAGTTCTGCTTTGCATCTCACGCATGGTTCTGCAGCACAGCTGCGAAGTAAAGTAGATTTTGCCTCAGACATCGTTACTTGCCACACTAAGCATGCAAGCAATCTCCTCTGTTCAGTCACTAGAATTCTAGTTACTTTCAAATGGATATGACACGTTTGCAGTAATATTAAGTGAGGAATATTCCTTCAATCACATCCTTGCCTTAATGCTTAAAATACTCCACCTACCACTTTTGTTAAAATTCAGAGGATTAGATGCCTGTGACATGGAAGTTCACATTCCTCCAGGTCATAAACTAGCAACAACCTTCAACAATGTCTATCTGCTGGCAACTAATAAGAGATGTCCTTTGCTGCACTGAAGTTTTGCATGCTTAGGGTAAATCCAATACTTTGAAGCACAAATAACTGTAATAGGGCAAATAAGCTGCTTTTCTCTTTGTCTTAATATCATTTAGATATCAGTAAAGGAAGTGTTGAACATCTGTCTCCCTCTTTTGTTGTGATGTATGGAATAACTTAAAAGTTCATGGAATCAGGCTAATGAACTAAGAAAGGAAATGTGTCTATATTTAATATAACACTCTGTTCTTGTTATTTACAAACAAAGTGCTTAACAGTATGTCCCAGATGACATGAATAACTGTTGTACAAGCCTACCACAAAAGATTACCTATAGTGAAGTCAGTATTAACATTAAACAAGCTCTGAAAAGTAACAAAGGTGCCTGACTTACAACAAACATCCTTCCTTATCTCAGCAGAGAAGCTTCTAGGTTGTTTAGCAACCAGTTCATGGAAGTGGAAGAGGCAAAGTATAAATCAACGAAAAACCAAATAGAACAGTATCTGTATTCAGCTGCCTGAGTATGATACATAGGGACAAATGATATGGTCTGACTCAAAAGCCCTTGGGAAAAGCAGCTTTTTTTTTTTTTAAATTAACTGTTGTATGTATGGAGAAAAGGAGCCATATGCTTGTAAAAATGGATCAGAATTGAAATGGAATTAATATATTTTGAATTTACAAAACAATTACCATATTCTATTACACTCCGATGCATGTAATATAATCTACTATACAGCACTGCAGACCTCAATCATGAAAATTTGATGCAACTTTTTAACACACCCACCCATGCAAACTAACATAAAAACAAAATGAGCATGAGAAAATCCTCAGCCAACAAAACAATGTCTAATAAGAAATATCCCCTAAGAAATGCTGGAGAAGATGGGAAAGAAAAATACTATTAGAATGTTGAAGTTCACCGATTTATACATGGGTATCACCGAAATTAAAAAAGGATATTAATGCAGAAATAAGACCAGTAAGTGTGCCAAGCGCTGCAGAGCCAAAGAACATCTTAAGGAAGTATCCCAGTGCCTGTAGAAAGGTTTGCCATCCACTTACATCTGACATATTTTCTCTTGTCAAACCTTCTGCTGTGCTAGATATAATTAAAAAATAAATAAAAAGAAACGGTTATAAATTCTAAGCCTGGATCCAAAAATACCAAACGTCTTTTGAGAACAGCAACAAAAAAGACTTCCATTTCTTAGTTGCTACCACTTCTAAAAGGCTTTTACTGTGATATATGTAACAAGAGGAATGTCAAAAGATATTAAATCAAGTCTTAGTGTAATCCCCAAAGGCAAACCTAATTCTGCTAAAAATCTGGAAATCCAGCATTGCTCTTCTGAAGAATCTCCAGAATGGCATAAATAGGCTATGATAATGCCCAGTATTACAAAACAATTTTCAAACTTTGAAAAGGAGAAGAAAACACATTTTGCAGTGGTAAAAACTCAGGGCATGAAGAAGAAGAGAGATGGATTGTGTGATCCTCAGAGAAGAACAAATGAACAGAAAGACCTCTCATCAAATATTTAGGTGTGGATGAGAGACAAGAAAGTCACTGCAGAAAAACAAAGAAGCTCTTAGGAGGAAAGAGGAGAAATCTCTTTGAATTTCAGGAATGTATTTCATAAAATTCCATGCAAAGAAGACATGGATTCTAACTAGTGTTTCTTTTGACTGCTGTTAGCCTTCACGGTCTTCCATAAAAGAACCACGACTGTAGTTCATTGAAAAATGACTCTAACTTCACTACCTTCTTAGTATATCTACTCCTTCTATACATTCATAGTCACATCTATTGACTTCAGCAATAACATGAAGATATATATATATTTTTTTTTTACTCTTTCAGCCCCAAAGAATTATCATGGGCAAAGGATAAGGATATTGGATGTTCTTCTTCCCTGTGATAGCCCCAACATAAATATAAAACTATTGCATGGATGTTGATGTATTCCCCGCCCCACAACTGAAGTGTGACTCTGGGTATAAGCCAATGATACAGGAGACGCAGCTGCGTATTTGGCAAGGTAAATATTTTTGTGCAAGCCTGAAAGCACACATGTTGGTTTTCTGTTGTCAGGACCCTCAGATGGAAAGAAAGCTGGTAAATGTATGGACTTAGAAAGCAATCAATTATCTGGGGTCAATGAGATGAGGCAGTGAGGTAGTGGTAATAAGACATCCATTTACTGTCTTCTGCCTATGCAGTTTATGGTATGGATTGCTTTTAACAACGAAGGATCATACAAAATTCAGCCTTACACCAGAAATACATGATTTGTTCCAAATGGAGATGGAAGAATTACTGTATATCTGAATAACTAATTAACAGAAAATAATGTGGTTGCTGTTTCCATAAACACGTGTAGTTCAAATGCACTTACTTGGTCAAGACAATAGAGACTGCATCATTGAGAATGCTTTCTCCAAAAACCAACATGTTGAGTACAGGATCCACATTGAGGGCATTGAAAATGGCAATAGTAGCCACAGGGTCAACTGCAGATATTAAAGAGCCAAATGCAAAACTGGGAGAACACAAAAAAAAAGAAAACTAGATGAAAGAAAACTATGTACCTAGTAAACTTGTATGAACAACTAGTAACAAAGATGTTATGTTATAGTTTCTACACAGTGGAAAGTTATGCTCTCTTCCCATTCATAAGAACTTGAAGTGACAAAAGGGAAATTTTTGTTTTTCATTTACCGATATACCAGCTGTTGTCCAGCTGGAAGAGATGTAGGAGATATACCTATCTCCCAGCTCTCAACAACAGTATCAATGTCTTACTCCAACTAAACAAGAAAAAAATCAGAGGAATGTGAAACTAAACAACTTTACAGACACAGTCCAAACCATGTATCATACATGCATAGTGTTACCACAGGAGTACTAGAGAGGAACATTTAAAGGGAACTGCTAAAACTTCATTACTTTGGAATCCAAAGATAGACAATACAGAGGCAATGGGACTGCTCAGCTGTGTAAAGTCAAACACTGGAACCAAGGAAGGAAGATTTTTGCTGTTCATGCATGTTTTAATTGTTATGTTTCTTGCTTGCCACCCAATTTATTTATGGATTTTTACATAAAACTGCTGTATTGGCTATATGATAAACAAACAAACAAAAATCCCAAATAAACCAGGAACGAACTTTATTTAATGGTAGGGTGGTGTATTCCTAAAAATCTGATTAGATCCTCTGCCAAGTTCTTGAAAAATTGACATTATTGATACTGAAAAACTCAATCTGTCTTTTAATATAAGATTTGGACATGGAAGTTATGCCCTTATTATATATATATTAATAATACCAACTAATCAAAGATTACATATTTTAACTTTAAAGGTTGGTTAAAGGTTAAAAAACCCAGTATCTTTCCTGTCTAGAAAAAATCACTGAGCACAGAATACTATTTGGAAATAAGGGTGTAATAAATAAGGTTTAGAAGTGTTTGATCTATTTATTAGTTTCATACACCATGTTGAATCTAAGCAATCTAAACAATAACCAGAAGAGCTGGCCAACTACAGTGCACTTCCCATATACAGTTATCTTGAAGAATGCTTCATTTCATATACTACACCATTTCCGCAAGAGCTTACCTGTCTGTCATGTTGAGTTTATAAATTACATCAGCCTGAAAGAATAGTAAAATATAAAGAAAAAAAAAATCACAATCAACTGTGTTTTTCTGCTGTTTTTAAAAATGAAACTATTCATCAAATCCTAAGTTCATTATTATGAAAAAAATCACAGTAGTGATGTTACCCAGACTAACGCTGCTGTCCAACAGTGATCTACTGCTACAATTCTGGTCACCCAAAATCAGGGAAGACCAGATGAAACTGGAAGATACAGGTAAGTAGAGTAACTAAGGCATGCAAAGGAATGGAAATCTGAGAGGCAAAGAGGAAAGTATGGATTCTTTGGCCTACCAGAATGAAGTCTGAGAGAAAATATAATTATCTATGTCTATATCTAATCAATGGGGAAACACCAAAGCAGAGAAGCAAACAAAATTATTAAAAGAACAACAAATAAGTTTAACATCGGAAATTAGAAGATGGCTCTAGAGATCGCAGGTTTTGGAACAGCCTTCCGATAGGAAGATTGAATAAGTAAAAAAAAGTAAAACTCAACTCAAGTCTTAATTGCTTTTAACATTAAGCATGCTGTATCTATGGAAGGGGTTATATAACATTGCCCCTGAAATAGCAGAGAACTGGACTTTGTGACCCAGGAATTCACTTTCACTATGTTTGCCTGCTCTTGAAAAATGGACTTTCAAAGAGCAAGCCAGATAAACTTAAGTGCTTCAATGCAGCAATTCTTACCTGGCCCAGGAAATAAATTCCTCCACCTACAATGAAAGCTGATATTGCAGTGCCAAATACAGAAAACAGAGTGATGGAACCGATGTTCTGAAAAAAATTACCCTGGAACACAATAATAAAGTAAGTAAATAAGTGAAAACGATCTGAGGGAAAACTCATGTTTGGGTTTGCATCTAAATTAGATTCTGATTCACAACTGGGTTTCCAATAATAAAGCTTCATTAGTTTGGTTGCAGGTACCCCAGGACATACATCCACACCATCTGCCTAAAGAGCCTGCTCTCTTGAGGACAACAGCAAATCCCTCTGATACCCAGGACAGGACGTCAGTCTGGTATTCTAACAACAAACCAATCCTCAGACGAGCAGCTGGATGTTCACCAGCACTTTGACACATTCCCCACCTGACAGAACTGTAAATTAATCCATCTATTGCAGACAGGGCACATGAAAAAGGCTTGTAACTTCCCAGTTGCTAGTCCATTTCTTAGGAAATGATTTTGTATGAAAAAATCTTCAATGTTGGTACCAATTCATGATACTACTATCGCCCACTGTTCACTCCCTCTCCTGCAGCACAGCTCAAGTAGAAAGGCAGCACACAGGGAGGACCAGAACCACTTCCGCCAGGACTAGCGCTGTGACAAATGTCCACGGAAACACAGGCTCCCAACCAAAGGGTGAAAACCCTTGTAAACATTTTCCTCTTCTTTAGCTATGGAGTGACCCCACCTTTCCCACTTCTGATCCTACTCCTTCCCATTTTGCCTCCTTCACATGAGCCCTTGTACAGCTCTGATGAGGTAAGAAACCTCTCCAACCAAGGAAAACAACCTCTGTGCAGTACCTAACATCTTGCCCACATTCAGTTAACAGTAACAAGTTACATTCCCTGCATTCTGGGTTGAAGAGGCTTAAATTTTGCATTCTCATTTCCCTGATGATTAATATGATGGAATTTAACGCAATTACTCTAAACTTTTAAACTTCAAGATAACTAAAAGCAGAATGTGTTCCAAACAAAGTCTCAACATGTAAAACAAGTGTCTGGCAGGGGCTAACCTTGTGCAATGAATATCCAGATTCAAATATAATAGGTGGAAGCAAAAGCAGAAAAAACATATTTGGACGAAACATTTCTTCTTCCTGCAAAGCAAAAATAAAGTATAATTTCAAGGATATCACAATTATTGAAATAACATCAAATCTTCCAAAAGGCAAGTTATTAAAAAAAAAACAAAAACAAACCAAAATGTTGGAAAATGAAAATGGCATTAATCTTTCTCCCTTCTTATCACAAAATAAAAGACTGAAGAATAGTAAACTACTCCAGGGCTGCTACTTCTATTTTTTTTTTAATCCAGTGACAGAAATCTAGGTGTTACTTATTTTAAATTACTGTCTCCAAATAAGCTGCACAGAAAACAGGTTACTTATGGCAAAGGAAAAGTCTTTCTGTTTCCACAAAAAGTATTCCCATTTTATCTCACAGTCTCAAAATCTGTCACAAAAAGTATTCCCATTTTATCTCACAGTCTCAAAATCTGTAAGGACAGTCAAGGAACGGTGACCACTGGTCACCGTTTGATGGCCACTGGTTTGAACATAATCTAGGTTAACCATGACCAAGTACAGTTTCACTAGAAAACTCATCACCTGACAAGAAGAAATCAGATCATCGTCTTAGTACACTTGCAAGCGAACAGGCTCAAGACATATACCACAGTTAAGAGTCTGAGGCTTCATTCTTCTTGGCAAATGTAATTTACGTCTATAATTTAACGCTACTATTCTGATGGTTCCTTTTTACCATCAGAGTTATATAAGTGAAACCTACCGTGAAGTAAGACGTTATTTTTTGGTGACCTTACTCTTTGTTGCCTACTCATCACTTGGCTAACACTGCTTTATGGACTTGTACCCCAAACTGGCACCCGGTATTTTTCTGCTGGCAGACTACGAACAGAAGGCAAATTAATCACGGCTGAATGTGCCTCTCTCTCTTTACCCACCAGGCTCCCTCCCGATCCCCACAGTTCCGAATATAGCAGAATTTGTCACCTTTGTAAGCAACAATTTATTTGTTTAAATTCAGGTTAAACAGCTGATTGACTGTTCTGTTAAAATACCAGCTTTCAAAAAAGAAGTACTCATCTCTTTAAAGTCTCATTCCTGTCTGTACCAGCGATAATCATCTTAAAGGATTTGGGGGACTTAGAAAATAAAACTCATCCTTTATACTGAAATGCTTTAGTCCATTATTCTGCATGCACAATTTCGTGCATCGATGGCTAACACTACCTAGTTTCTGTCAATACAGTAACTGCGCTAGAACAAAAAACTCACATACCTGATTAATTACACTGTTTAAAAGCCCCTGAAAGCAGAGCTGGACAAGGAGGTGGGAAATAATGAAAAGGAAGGACTGCATTTGTGCTGCATTGAAGCAGAGACCAGGAAAGTAAAACATGAGGACTGTAATTATCAGCCAGCTAGCCAGCAAGAATCACCAGCAAGTGCAAGGTCCGCTGAGGACTTAGTAAGGCATGATTGCAAGAAATAACATTACGAAGTTCTTAGAGCTGGGATATGATCCAAGATTTACTTTGTACATGGATATAGCCTGCAGCTAAATATTCTATTTTTTTTCCATATCAGAGAAAAAAAAATTCTTTAGTAAATTTAAAACCATTTAAAATCATTTTATAAAGTACATCATAATTATTGATTAGAACATTCCACATCTGAAATTATGACAGCCTATGTTAAAACCTAAGCTTTAATACAGTGAAACTAACTTAAATAAGCAAATAATAATGTGGTACCTGTGACCTTTTACCTTAGCTGATAATGTGAGCAACCGGACGCAGCATCCCCAGTGCCTCCCATGATTTGACCAATGTTCACCAGAAATAAACTATATGTAACTCACTAGCTATGATCAATATTTCCTGAGCTTATAGAATCAGAGCATACTTTAAGCTTTCTTTTTTCTTCCTACATACGTGACCATCTTCAGATTATTTTATTTACCCAATAAGAAGCTATTTTAAAATGCTGATTTTGTGGCTGTTAACTGATTTTCAATTTTAAGTCAAATCCAGTTGACACAAATCAGGAATGAAAAAACACTAACTAGTGCACCACACACTGTTTCTACTAAGTAAATATGTAAAAATGAAATATCACAACATGAATCTTGTACTATGTAATTGCTTAAATGAATGTACACAGAATTAGTGTAGTTAGTTGACAAAAAAAGAAGTATAATATGTAATTAAAAAGCTACATCTGATTGAAAATCTATGCATTTTAATGTACTTCAACTAAGGAGAAAAAAAATCTTCTTTTAGGGAAATAACTGCCAAGAAATATTAAGCTGCAAGCTGGGATTAAAATTCACTACTCAGACCAAGATTTTCAGCTTGCTAATATAAATCCTGTTTAAAACTGTTGATTCAAACCACTGTGATTTCAATCAGTTCACTGATCTAATCCTAATAAACTGTTTGATCCTATGAAACAAAATCACAATTTAAATACCGCAAGATTTTAAATTAAAGCAGGAATAGCGAAGAGTTCATTGCTTTGATGATGTGGATAAACCGTAGGAGACAAAATCCTTGCTTCACTGTAGACTTCACCTCTTGGAGATACTTCTGCCAGGATTCTCCCTCCCTGGGGAAGCCTCTGTAACTCCATACATGCACAGATAAGACCTCATAGCATCTCTCACTAATTCAGGCTGGAGGGGACCTCTGGAGGTGTCTGATCCAAGCTCCTGCTTAAAGCAGGGCCAACTCAGAGCAACTTCAGCTGCTCAAGGCTTTATCCAGCCAAGTTTTGAGTATCTTTGTGGATGGAGATTCCCACAATCTCTCTGGTCACATGTTCCTATATTTGGTTGCCATCATTTAACATTTTAAATTAATATTAACATTTTAAGTTAACATTTTCTTCCTACTATTTAAGTCTGTAAAGCTCCGGGCACCAGGACAAGGACAACCTTCTGCACAGAAGCTTTGCCTGTATTTTCTGCTGGAAATAAAGCTCAAATCATGTTTCCATTGTCTCAGCCAGTGTGAAAAATGCTGCTGCTTCAGGCACACTGGTTTCAGCAGTCTTTCCACAAGAAGCAATGGAGCACCCAAGAAACATGCCATGCTGAATGGATTGCTTTTTGAACTGTCTGTTCTTAGCACCACAATTTGTTGCAGTTTTAAGTATAAGTAAATACAGTAAGTAAATAACATGACTTTTAGCACAGCTATTCTGAAGAAGTGCTCCTTTCCACCTCTGTGAAATCTATGTTAACATCTTCAGGTAAAACATGTGACTTTACAACCTATCAAAACACATTTTTTTCTATGAAAACACCTACAAAATTAACTCCAAAAGGAGGAAGAGAACTAAATACAGTCAAAAAGTATACACGACAAATAACTGAATTGCTATAGTTTTTACTGTAACTGATCCCAAAGATGGCCAGTACCTTCTTCTACCATGTATCCAACAGGAACAGATTTGGTACCATATAAAGGATTACTCAGGGAAAAAAAATATTGTGTAGAAAAT